AGGAACCAGCCCATGAAATCAGAGGCTCAGATCCCGCTGTGGTGTCTCATTTCTAATCTGGCTACTCTATATTTGTCCCGGGAAGTCCGCACACGGAAGTTAGTCTTCCTTTGCTCTGAGGCCAGGCCTCAGTATCCCTTGGACAACCAATCTCGCTGGCCCCCTGAGGGAACTTTTGATTTTAGCCTCCTCACTGACTTAACTAATTATTGCCACCGGAGCAGAAAGTAGAATGAAATCCCATATGTGCAGGCTTTTTAGACTTTGCACTCCCATCAAAGCCTTTATGTTAAGTGTTCTATAACTCAAGTTCTCCTGGCCCCATCTCCAGTTAAAGATTGTCAGCCTCTTACTCTGCCCAGTCCTTCTTCCCTTTCAGATGTGCCAGAAAACCTCAGTCGCCCACCTCCCTCAGCTCGCAATCCCCTCCCCCTCTCTCCACCACCATCTCTAAGTCCTTTGTCTTCCCACGTGTCGCCTCCATCTTAAAGTCCTGCATTCTCAACCATGCTGTTGTCCTACTCTCCTCTTCTGGTGGCTGCACCACCCCCTCCCCCTCTCCTTCCACCCTCACCGCCCTCTTCCCCCACCAGAACACGCCCCTCCCGCCCTCTAGTTCCAGAAGCCACAGACAAGAAGCTGAGAAGAGAGACGGCAAATGGATATCAGTAACTTAAGTCTTTGTATTGGTTTGTCTATCTGTGTATATGTTTTTATGAAAAAAGTGTTGCTGACTGTAGTCGTTGTATCTCAGTTTGTACGTTTGTGTGTCTAAGTGTATAAATGAAAAATATTTTATTTAAAAACAAGCGCTTGTGAAGATTGAGCATTCTAGGAACTTCCAGAGAATCTAGTAAAAAAAAATGTTAAGCATGAAAGCTAATATGAGTTTAGCTGAGGCGGGCATGTCCTTGTTGTTATCAGCTGCCCAAGTTTACCTAAGGTCATTTAGTTCAGTGTTATCTGCTAAATCTTTTAGGAGTAAAATGCTTAAAAGCTTAGCTTTGTCTAACATTCAGTAAAAGTTTTGTAAGTAATCTAATGTAGTTGCTAAAAATAAGTAAACAAGCCTAGCAAATAAATATCTTAATAATAATACTGTATTAATGTATAACAGTATATATATATATGCAAACAGTCTGAGAATTTTTGTAGTAACCAAAATTCTTAAAGTTTGCTAAGTTAGACATATTTTGTACCTAATAAGAAATTGTGCTATAAAGCACATTTCCAAAAATGATAATATACATTCATAAATGTATCAATCTGAAGAATGCTAGTGTAACAGTTTACAGTAGCCTATTTTTCAGTGTTCACTGAAGGTTAAAAGTAATAGTTTTAAGTTCTGATCAAAACTACTTAAAGTAGTAAGGAAAACATTTCTGCATGCTAAAAAATGTCTTTTGATAAAAGAAAGTTGTAAAAAGTTTGTAGAAGAATTTAATATGGTCATGCTATATAAAATTAAAGCAAATGAGTCTCAGTATCAATTACACAGCAAAATTTGAATTTTGTTTTCAGTTAAAAAGACAAAGTTTTCTTAACTGTTAGCTCTTAATATTGAAAGACTGCAGAAAGTTCTTCTAATTGTTTTATCAAAGCAGTTTCTTATGCTTAAAGTCTCAGTGAGTTGTCAGAGTCTTTAAGAAAATGAGATCTTAATATTAAGAAAACTAAAAGCTAAACTTTGATAATAACTGTGTAACCTTTATTTGCCTTTGAAGTACTTTGTTGTCATTCTAGTTAATTAGATAAGTGTTGCTTCATAGCATCCTATAATCCTATTTAAGCAAGTGCCTTAAAACTTTCTTCTGACAATTTCCCAAAATCAAATTCAAAAAAGGTGCTTTTGCCTCTAGTTAACTCTGATATTTTCCAGAGGGCCCCTGGAACATGTCAGAGAAATTTTTTTCTCATTAGAGAAAGTATTTGACTAATTTGGCTTATTTATCTGATATATACTTACCTGCTTAATTACCTAGAAAGCACTGTCAAAGAGAATAATGCTAAACTTTGTTACTGAATGTTTTGTATTACAGAAATATCAATTTCCTTATGTCAACTGTCTTAGAGTAAGCTCTCATTAGATCTTTAACCACGGTTATTTGTAAGTCTTTTGCCATTTATAGTCACTGTTTTATTACTCCTACACTAGTAAAGAACTAGATTTCAGCAGAACAGGTATTGGTTACATAAGATTAAGTAAGCTAAGGAAGATAGTTTTGTGACTTTTTGTTTCAGATGTTGCTGATAAAGTGTTTTAAGCTTTTTCTCTTAAGCTGACAACAGTTTAGTAAATGACTGCCTTTATAAGCAGAATTGAAACTTTATTTTTCTCTCTACCTGATCCCTCCAGAATTTAAAAACTCTCAGTAACTATTTTTATATTTCATGGCAGTATAATTATTTGCACAAGTTCAATAAGAATCTGCTTTCCTTGTAAGAGGACCAATTAAAAACACTGGTTATACTACCAAGGCTTTGAGTGGAATGTCATACCTGAGAAACACATGCGTAAACTCAGATATGGACAGCTTTAAAGAACTAAGGTTGACTTTATAAAGCCAACAAAGCCCCTTGGAAGAACTGGCCTGGTACCTTGCTTACAGAGTTCCCAGCAGCCTTACCAGGTGAGTAAAGAAGGTCACTTCCTGGCAAGTGCAGGAACCTCAAGAAGAGAGGAATTCACCCAAATCTACAGGTACTGCAGGCACAACCTGATGGCAAGTCTGGCTTGGCTTTCTGGCCTCAGGAGGCCCTTAAAAGTCCAATCTGAAATTCCTGACAAAAGGTTCCAGCAAAGCATAGTTAAAAGAGCCCATGTAATCAATTGCTCTTCTTGCTGCACTTATGCAAATAATCAAGCCAACTGTTAATTATTCTCTTAATCTAACTACTTCTAATAAAAATAAGGGTGATTTTAGAGAAAAGTATTGTTTCAGTAATGCAGTCTTATCTATACTAAATCCTAATACTAGTCATTGAGATGTAAACTCCATCCAGAATTCCAGATCCCTATAATGGCCTGGCTAATGCCCCTACTGGGCCCCTTAATAACAGTTTGTGGTTTACTCTTAGTTGCCCCTGTGTCCTCAGGTTCCTCCAACAGCAGCTAACCCAGATGACCCGGGTCGCCACCAACCAGATGTTACTTCACCATTATGCACCTCCTCCCACTGAACCACCTCCTTCAGCCTAATACCAGCCTCAAACCCCCACGACGCCCCTTGTCAGCCGGATGTAGCCAGATTGAGTCGTCGCCCATTATGACCAAAAGGCTGGAATGTTAGGCTGGAGAAAGGAAAAACAAGGACATGCAAACAGAACAGAGAGATGCCATAGGGGGAGAACAGACCAGACCCCAAAGTCTGTGCTGTATATAGAAAGGGGACAGCTCTCCCTGAATTTCATCCTGATGTGCCAACTAAGACCCAGATGTCAGCCTCCTCCCTCTTGGAAAGAAAAAAGTTTCTAGTTGACTATTATGTCACCTTTAGCCAATCATACCTCTCCACACCCCCTAGGATAGCTTGCCCACTCCTCCCCCTCCTAATCCCTTATAAGCGCCCCACCTCCCTAACCAGGTGTGACTTCTCTAGCCTCTGGCAATAAGGCCACAGAACCTCACCCAGGGGTATTTAAATAAATTGCCTGGCCCTTTGTTGCCTCTCTTTGCCTGCTTATTCCAGCTAGAATTTATCTTACAGTTGAGTTTTAGGAGTCCTCTATATATTCTAGATATTAATCCCTATCAAACATATGATTTGCAAATACTGTCTCCCATTCTGCCGGTGGCCTTTTTACTCTGTTGATCATGTCCATTGATACACAAATATTTTTTATTTTGATGAGGTCCAATTTGTCCATTTTGTTTTTTTGTTACCTGGGCCTTTGGTGTCATATCCAAGAAATCATTGCTACACCCAAGGCCATGATGCTTTCCCCCTGTTTTCTTGTAAGAGTTTTGTAGTTTCAGCTCTTATACTTAGGTCATTGATCCATTTTGAGTTAATTTTTGAATATGGTGTATTGTAAGTATACAAAACTTCTTCCCTTTGTGTGTGGAAATCCAGTTTTTTCTATATCATTTGTTGCAAAGACTGTCTTTTCCCCATTGAATGATCTTGGCATTGATCATTGTTAAAAATCATTTGACCATATATGTGACAGTTTATTTCTGGGGTTTATCTTTTTTTCCATTCTACTAGTTATATTTCTATCTTTTTACCAATACCACACTGTTTTGATTACTGTAACTTTCTAGTAAGTTTTGAAATCAGAAAGTGTGAATCCTCCAACTTTGTTCTTTGCCAACTTGTTGTGGCTCTCTGGGGTTCCTTGACATTCCATGTCAATTTCAGGATGAACTGGCTTCTGCAAAAAAAAAAAAAAAATTGGTATTTTGATAGGGATTATATTGAGTCTGTGGATTGTTTTGGGTAGTATTGACAGGGACCCAAATCTTGAGCCATAATCACCCACAAGGCACCATTTGCTGACATTCTATTCACAAACTCATCCTCACCTCTGGGTTTCCTACTGATAAACATGTGTTGTGATCCTTGGTACAGGATCAAGCATAGTCCTGTTGCTCAAGCCAGCTAACCAGACCTTTTACACTAAATTAAGCTCTTGCCAATATCCTGGGAAAGTCATCTCCAGCAGCTACAAATGTCTTGGCCCAAACCACTGAACCAACTCAACTGCACAACAAAACAGCCCTCTTATGCCCTGCTCAGCCTGGAATACTCAGACACTTCAGCTAGACTTACCCCCATGAATACAGACTCATTTCTTTTTCTGCATGAATGTAAGTATTCATCCACTAAAAATGTGTTAATCACCTAATGTAATATATCAAATAACATGTAAGGCTGAGGGCACACAAATGAATAATAATAACTAACACTAAACACTTCCTATATGCCAGGCAGTGTTCTAAGTGCTTTACATCCATTATGTCATTTAACTCTTCCTCTTACCCTAAGAGGTTAGGAAACTCAAGGCCACGCCACTGAACACAGATAATGAAATTCCAGAGTTCACATGCATAAGCATAATGCTAAGCTGCCTTATAACAAAATACAGAGGAGGAGACAGACACATAAATAAAGAATTACTCTATAATGTGTTAAGGACAATGCCAGGGATATACCAGCGATTTAAGGCATTCTAGAGAAAGATTATCTACGCCAGCCATCAATGCAAATACCTTTCATGGTGCATGCTAAATGTACCCTCTGAGACGCTGGCCTCATTCCTTCCTGGAGAAAGCCCTGCCATGGCCTCTTTGTGAACCATCATCACACATACTAATTTGATCCCCTACATCAGTTACATCTCTAGAAACAGCTAGAGTTGTGTCCGCTCAGCATACCCAACCCCAGCCAGCCATGACATAGTTGTGTTGTATGCAGACTGTGCAAGGAAGAGTGAAGTCTTGCAACATCTTAGCAGCTCCACTGGGCTCAGAAAAGGCAGGAGGGCTCATCACTGTACAATGTGCAGTTCCAAACAAAGCCTGTGCCGCCAGACTTGATGAAAAGGGAAATCAGTGGTGAGCTGCCATGAGGGAGGGAGGGCAGAACAATTAGGAGGGTTCAGAGGGCCCCTGCAAACCAGGAACTCCCACAAGCCAGCTCAGCTCTCCTGCCTTCTTGCTTCTCTTTCCTTTCAGTCCCAGAGTGGTGGTTCTCCTGCAGAAGCTCAGCTGAGGACAGTGAATTAGTACGGGGGGAGGAGTGGGGAGGTATGTGACTCTCTGTGCCCTAAAGTGACTCTTTTTTCTGTGCAGCTTGGATGGGAAGTTTGGTGACACATCAAGGAAATTTCCAGAGAGATGCAGAGCACCAGTGTGGGCAGGAGCCTCAGGCATCTTGAGACAGGTAGCATTTCTTCCTTTTTTTCTCTGTGGCTCCACCTTGCAGCCTGTGTCTCAGCCAGGTTTACGGGGGCCTGTCAGGCAGGGATAATAAGGAATGAAAACCCATGGCTAGAAACTGGAAGTGTTTTTTGGAAACTCAAGTCCCTGAGATGACTGAGGGCTTACTAATCACAGTTGAAAGGGCTACAGCCCTTTGTACCACGGTCTTTCATCTCCCTGGAGAAATTACTGACAATGACACACAGCAGTTAGAATGAATTGTGAAATCAAAGAACCAGACAAGCTTCAGACAGTGTTTTCCTTAAATTACCCATACCTTTCTTTCCTAGATGGTCCAGATATGCCTGACTTCCTATGCAGAGAGGTTCTTTCTGGGCCTCTTGGTCCCAAACCTGTAGCTGCCCTGATGCTCGCCACTTGCTCTCTCCTTGGCAAGGAAGCGGCTGTGGGGCAAGGCGTGGCACAGAACTATATTCTCCAGTCTATTTAATCCCCTTGGCCACCTGATACATAAGGCTGTTTCCTGCGGATTTGCTGTGTGAGGATGGATTCACCTCTGTGATGCCAATACATTTGTAAACTCCAGAGCCTGGAGCCAGAAGATGTGGCTCAAGTCCTGGCTCCTCATGTCTCCACACTCCACCCAGGGCAGGTCCTCTAACCTCTCCGAGCCCCCTTCCCCTCGCCTGTAAAACAGAGGCATGGTCACTTCGGCGGCAGTGGCCAGGCTCCGCTTCTGGCCGGCAGCCTGAGAGTATGATGTGGCACAGCCACCTGGACCATCTCCTCTTGCCCTGATGGCCTGATCACCTGTCATAACTGCGTAATTTGAGAATGAAAGGAATAAGCCGCAACACTACCCATCAGTCTGGAGAGGGTGAGAGGAAGCAGGGAGGGCGAATGTAAGGAATAAATCAAGTGGCTGTGTAATTAATTTAGAATGACTTAAGGCACTGAACGTTGAAGAGAAACAAAAGTGGTGACATTTAATAAATGTGTCAGTCGATATCTCACTCATTCCAGCTGTCTTTTTAAATGTCACGTATCTCACAGTTCCTTTTCCTTGCAGCTGGAAGGGTTGTGCTAACAACAGCCAGTTTTAGTTTCTGCTCAGTAGGTTAGCAGGGGCACATGATTTCAGAAGCAAGATCTCCTAGAGGGGGCAGGAACAGGAGACAATGCCCCTCACCCCTGGAGAGCTGGAGCCACAGCTGCTCCTCGGGGCCCCCAACTGGTCCGCTCTCCTGGCCCTCACCTGCTTTCCTGCCATCAACACTAAAATAGGCGTCCTCACCAAGAGAAAGGCAATCAGTAGGTTTTTATGTAGATCCCCCATTTGTGCCTCCAGACTTCTCAGAGCTTGAAGTTTTCAAGAGAAAATCTTGGCTGAACTCTGAGGAGAGAAAGGCAAGAGCTGCTTGTTCCAGAGAACCCCAGACTCAGGAATTTCCATTCTGAACTAATCGGCCCTTGGTTCAGTCCTCTATAAATACCGGCTACTGCTTCAGAGAGAAACTGGGGGAACAAACCAGCTGGATTTCACTCTGGGGAAAAACATGAAGCCAAGCAGCACTGAACAGTTTTCATTCGAACTTCACCCCCAGCCCCCAAAGTGAGCTCCCCCACTTTCAGCAGCGGCCAACCTGGTCTCTTCAACCTTGCTGGGCACCAAGGTGCGAGGAGGAGGAACAACTGAAACCCAAATGGAAAACTGGCTGGTGTTCAGCCAGCCTGGAAATTTAAGTGGCCTAGGCAGACTGAAAAGTTAGGCAACTCCAGCTCATTTAACAGAGTGCAGTTCTGCCTTGAGGCGCACAGAAGGGCTCTGGTGTTCTAGGCTGCCTGGGGAGCGGGGCTTGGTGAGCCAGCTCATGTCCAACTGCTCAGCCTTGGCCCAGCCCAGTTATGCAGGGGGTACACAGTGGCGTGCAGAAGAGAGGCCACCCTTCCACTGTCCAGTTCAGAGCCAGGTTGTGTAGGGACTCCATGCTGACCCCTGAGGGGAAGCCAAATATGCATGACTCCCCCACCTAAGTGTCCCCTCACTTGAAGCAGGGCCAAATCACTTGAACATGCACCCCACTGCCTTCTCACCAGTGCGCAAAGCCAATGGCTTACTAAAGTAAGCATTCCCGGTGCATCTATTGATGGCTCCCAGAGTGCCTCCGGCATGATCAGCCCTCCCACCCTGAGGTTCTCTCCTGACTCTAGTCTCCATCATAGGACCCATTTTGGCAGCCACCCCAACTCTCATCCACACACCTCCAGCAGTGAGAAGACCCCCAAGCCCAGTCCTTGTCCTCTCTCCAATTCTTTACCCTCTCCCTGGCCAATGTCACCCACCACTCCTTCCACCACCTCACCTCTGCCTCCCTGCTGAAGCTGATCCGCAGCTGCCACACTTCCCCGGGCACAGGCCAAAGCTCACACCTGTGAGATGAGGCCCTGGTCAGCCTGCTGAAACCTCAGCCCAGTGTTGCCCACAGCGACCTCTCGGAGCTGGCTCCCTGGGGTGCCTGCGGGCTTCAGTAGCATTGCTCCATTGGTCTCATCCTTGATACCCTGCACCCACTCCTCTGGCCAGCTAAGTTATATTTATTTGTTCTCCTGTGTTGTCTCACTGCCCTACTTTTTTCTCTGGATCCTCATTATTTCCTTCCTGGGTTATTGCTTGCAGTATAATGAGTTGTAAGACATACATATTTGGTGATTCAGATGACCAAATATAGATTTCCCAGGTATATTTGGTCTTCATCCATAGTTCTGAAAACACTGCAGAATCTTAAAGGTGAGATGGGGGCCTTGGCATGTTAGTAAGACTTTCGGGCCCCACCCAAGGGCTGGACGTTGAATCAGCTAATGGCCAATGATTTAGCCAATCATGACTGTGGAAGGAACCCTCACAAAAGCCCAGGAGAAGAGCATATTGCACTCTCAGATCCTGCTTTTCTGTTGGAAAGAGATTCTACCCTTGGGGAACCAGGACACTTCCATGTGCCACTGAGCCAGGCCCCAAGTTCCACGAGTATAGAAGCTCCTTTATTGGGACCTTGCCCTATGTCTCCCTTCATCAGGGTGTTAACTTGTATTCTTTGTAGTATCCTTTATTAAACTGGTAACTATAAGTGTTTTCCTGAGTTCTGGGAATAGCTCTAGCAAATTAATCAAACCTAGTGGGCAGGTCATTGGACCCTCCAATGTGCATCCAGTAGGTAAGAAGCACACGTAACTGCCTGGGGCATGTGACCAGCCTCTGGAGTGGGGGGTGGAGAGCAGTCTTGCAGGACAGCCCTCAACCTGGGGAATCTGGTGCTGTCTCCGAGCAGATAGGGTCATAACTGAGTTCTTGGACACACTGCTTGTGTCCAAGAATTGCTTAGTGTTGTCGGGGGTGGGGAAGACACCCTCCCAAATGCACGCACACATTGGAATCAGGTCCAGGAACACAAAAGGCCTTGTACTATTACTGCTGTATAATATACTATTATTGTTGTGTTTGTGTAGGAAAAAATACACTGCTGTAGTCTCCTCTATTTAAGGTTTCCACTTCTGACTCTCCTCAATGAAGATCCATGGAGTGAAAGACCACGGAGTGAAGACCTTAGTGGCTAAGCATGGGCCATGAATCTGTGAGGATGTAAAATAAAGGTAAATTGGCAGGTTGTGCACCCTGGAGGGTACAAGCTCTATTTAAAGATGTTCAAATTCAAATTAAAAAAACATTAGGCAAACTAACCAGATGTGGCCCCTGGCCAACTACTGATCAACCCCTGAAAAGCCACTAGGTCTTCAAGTCCCTAGTAGTTTCATCACTGTAATACCTTTGGTATGCATTCCACTATTAAGCAAAAGCTTTTACTGATTTCCCTTTTGTCCATAGGGAGAAAGGAGTAATATTTGCATGAAGTTTTTTAAATTATAAAGGACTTTGCCTTACATGAAACTGGCAATGGATCAATCTGGTGTCAGGACACTTCATGGGTCTGCACCCCCATTTCCACAAGCAAATGCAACCCTTCCTCCCACCAGGCTTTACTTCTTCTGTAAGTCAGGATGCCCTCCCCTCCCCTGGGAAACCTAAACTCATCCATTCATTAAGACCTAACTCAAGACTTTGCAACTGGAAAAGGCTCCCCAGACCCCTGCAGAGGACAGCGACCTTCATACTTCCGAAGCTGTCGCTGGCACATGCTCCCTTATTAGATGCCAGTGTGCATTGTCTGTCTCGTTATTTTTCATGCACACACTTCTGTCCTCCACCAGCAACCAGGCACAAAGCTCTTTTCTTATCTGGCTCCCTCCCACTGTCTTGCATATCCAGTTGCCCCATTGTGGGGAGCCTGCCAGAGATGAAGTGCCTACCGCCAGGGAGGGGGAGGACCAGAGTCAAGTACCTAGGTTCAGAATCCCAAGCTTGTGGTTTGGAAAACAGTTGCTAGAAAACCAAGTGTAGTGGTAGCTAAAGACAGTCTTCAATAGTGACTCTCAAATTTTACTCTGCTTTTGCATCACCTGGAAAGCTTGTAAAAATGTAAATTGCTACCACAGAGATTCTGATGCACTAGACCTGGTATGGAGACTAAAAGTCTGTATTGTCAGCAAGTTGACAGGAGATTCTAATGCCACTAAAGTCCAGACCCACACATTGAGGAGCACTTGGTCCCAGAATCATAGATGGGGCTTTACCTGGAGTAGGACAGTTGAAAACCCTGACCCCGAACTCACCGGGAGGATCGTGTTCTGATTCTAGGTAATTCCACACGGCAGGCAGTCATGGAAGGTTGTGTTCACAGACATTCTTGGGATGGGATTATTCCCCACCCTGGATATGTCTGACACCCCCTGGGCAGCACACTGTTGACCTGAACAGGAAGGTGTCAGCACCAAAGGCACCCAGTCTGGAAGCTCTCCCAGTGCTGTAAAGGTCACCCCCCAACAACGATGTTACAAGTCAACCCCTACTACAGTAGGGCAAGCCATGTGCTTCCCACTCCTGTACCCTTGCTTCCGTCACCACAGAGCAAAAGCCAAGGCAGACAAGTTCATCATGACTGAGAGCATCTGCTCCAAAGTAGGCTGACCACAGGCTGGCACAAGTGGGGACAGGAGTCAGTGACAGAGGGCTGCCCTGGGCCTGAGCTCCTCTTCCAGCCCCTATGCCCCAACCCCCAACCCAGTCTTTTTTTCCTTAGAGTCAAGCAGCATTGCCTGGGTCCAAGGGGAATTTTAGGAAGGAGACTGTAATCAGAGACTGATTGGAGCAGAAGGCAAAAGGGAAGGTGGAGGCCTGGGAGAGCACTAGCCCCACCCACTAGCCCTATGCACTGTGTCTGTGAATGGGAGGCCATCTGAGCCTCAGTTTCTCTGCCCATAAGAAAATGTCGTGAGATGACTCCCAAACTCCCAACTTCCTGCTGGGAAACTCCATGTAGGTGACTGTAGAACCTCTCAATGGACTCTCCTCCTTCCCAGACACCAGTCCTTCTGTGCCCCTCTCTTGATTATGGCACCATTGATATTCTCATCCTCAGGCCCCAGGCCTCTGAATCATTTTCTTTCTATCCTTCCCTCTCCTTGGCCCCAATCACTCATCACATTCTGTCCATTCTATGTATAGACTGTCCCATACCTGTTCCCACCTCTCAGGCCCCCTTCCCTTCTGGCCAGGGAAGTCGGGGGCACTTACTGAAGGGTCTGAAGGTCTCTCCTCTTTGACTTCTTTACCCCCTTGGGTCCCAGATTGTCTAGTGATCTTCAATATTTAAAAGAACTACTAGAAACTATATTTACCTCAATACAGCTTCCTGTACTATTAATAAATGTGCTTTGTTAAAGGGCTGAAATCAAACTGTGAGATCTGTGGGGTAAATTAATGAAAGGTATTTCCTGGTAGTGAAAGGTTGGGAGACAATCTATCCTCACATAGTCCCAGGTAGCTATCTCTCTGAAACAAAGGTGTAATGTCACTTCTCCTTGCCTTTCCCCCTCCCTCCACACCCATTCCTTAAGATTCCTAACTGTGGCATTCAAGACCAGCACCATTTGGCCCCATGTGTTCACCTCCCCTTTCCACACAGGCTGCATTTCCCAAACACCTAGGCATTCCCACTTTGCCATGACTTTGCTGATGCTGTTCCTTGTTCTGGAGTGCTCTTCCATCCCTCCTTTGCCCCTTGAAAGCTTTCTTGTCCTTCATGTTCCTGCTTAAATGTCCTTCCTTCATCTTCCTTGAATTCTGCACCTCCCAGGCAAAAATTAATAGCTTCTTCTCTGTCCCTTTAAGGCCAATGTTTGTATCTCTTTTCTAGAACACATTACTTTCTGATGTACATTATAGTTAGGGTCTTCCCTGTCGGAGTGCAGACTGCTTGAGAGCTGATAATCTCACTGTGGCTGCACATAATAGATACTTGGCCAATGTCTGTTGGATTAATTGGAATGTGAATGAATGAGTAGGTGTCTTCTCCTATAGGCTAAAATCAATATCACTACAGTGACCCAGAATTATCCTATGCTATTCACAGAACATAGGCTCATTTCTGGGAGAAATAGGTACAGAGCATACATATTTGGAAGCTTTTCTAAGTTTGATCTAGAGTGGCCACTTAGGACTACAGTGGCTATCTTCCAACAATACTAATATTAATAAGCATGGCTCTCATCTGTTAAATGGTTATGATGTGCCAGTTGCCATGCCAAGTTCTATGCATGCATTACCTGATTAGTTCTGACATCAACCCTGTGAGGTAGGTACTATAAATACCGACTCATTACATAGATGAGGAAACAAGTGAGAGAAGTCAAGTCAAGTCACTCACCCACAGCCAAGGGGAGGGCCAAGATTCAAACCAAGCTGAGTCTGACCCTCACTGCCCTATCCCACTTCTGCAGGCCTGGGAGCCCCTTCAGCCTGCCCCCCAGGGCTCCTCTTAACCAGTGAGACTGTGAGCTCCAGAAGGCACACTGGGGCCAGGCCATGAAGGACAGACCACTGCCCTGCCCTGTCCACAGTGCAGGTTCCTCCACAGACCCCTCTACGCTGCCCAGGAAACACCTTTGTTTCTGCCCTAGAGACCTGTGCCCTGAGTGTCACCAGCTTGAAAGTGCTTCTTCTGCCCCCTGCCAGCCTGCCTCCTTCTGCAAGGTGGTGTCTGGGATTGGTGCCTCCACCCATGGATGCTTTGGATATTTTGGCCAGTCCCGCTAAGAAGGTTTGAAAAGAAACTGGGCCATCAGGAAAAGGTAATTAGGTAGTGCTCCTGACAAGGTGGGAGGATCAGCAGGTGTAAGATCAGGGATGAGTCCTGGTGTGCATTTAATTAAGTGTCCCTGTTCTGTTCACACATTGAATGGCAGAGCTTGAAAAAAAAATCTCAGTCCTTCAAAACTCCAGGTGGGGGTAGAGGAAGTAGGCCAAGGGTGCCAAAAAACCCCACCTCAACCAAACTGAACCAAAACACAAAACAGAGCAGCCTGAATCCCAGGTCTTCTACTATTCATATCAACCTTTGATTATGAAAAAACAACCGAAAGAGGACAGAAAGCGCCCTGGGGAGACAGGGCCCTGGGCAACAAGGGGCACACAAAAGGGCTGGAGGAGGGGGAAGGAAGGCTTAAAAATCAGGCAAGAGCTGGAGTCATCCTATTTAAATTCTAACAAGGCCACTATTCAGAGATAACAAAGGCCACTGTGTTTAATTAAGGGTATAAATGGTAGAAATATGAGACAGGAGCTTTTACGAGCTGTTAATGAGGTGGATGGGAAACCTCTAAAAATAAAGGGCAAGTTGAAAAGCTAATTAGGGGTGCAAAAATAAACAGAGGGTGTCGATTTGAGAGAAGTTGGCTGCAAAGGCTCCTCCAACATGTCCTCAGGCCAAAGAGAGAGAGGCGCCCCCTTACAACCCCCCCAACCCCCTGCCACAGGCTGCTGTCTGTCCTTCAGGCCTCTTCTCCTTCCTAGACTTTCTGGAATGATAATGGGCCCCCCCAACCCCAACCAACCAAAGCTCTGGGGGGCGCGCTATGCCTTAGTTAACAGGGAGTCCCCAGAGAGACCTGAGCAAGTACTACAGCATGAGAGACCTTAAGAGCCATGTGATAAAAGTCAATCTGGCTCCTGCCTTTGAGCTGATAGGAGCTGTGCCTAAGTGCGTGGGTGCATGGACACACACACACACTTGCTCACCATACACACACACACACTCCCACCCATCAGTCCAGATCTGCATCCAAGGCCAGGTGATCGTAGGTAGAGAAGTAGGTGGTTGCTAACCTTCCAGTGGCTTTGAGCTGTTCTCCAAACCCTCAGCCCCGCCTTGCCCCCCAGTATCTCCCTATTACTGCTTTAACACCACCTCATTCCGATGACATTCTGTGGTCAGATAAATTTGGGAAATTCTTCCCATAATATGCCCCTTGGGGAGATGCACATTATTAACACATTTAATGCTCTGTGAAGAACTGTAGTAAAAAAGTCTCTGTGTTTATTTAAGTCGGCATTTCCTGAACACCTAACACACACACACACTCCCACCCATCAGTCCAGATCTGCATCCAAGGCCAGGTGATCGTAGGTAGAGAAGTAGGTGGTTGCTAACCTTCCAGTGGCTTTGAGCTGTTCTCCAAACCCTCAGCCCCGCCTTGCCCCCCAGTATCTCCCTATTACTGCTTTAACACCACCTCATTCCGATGACATTCTGTGGTCAGATAAATTTGGGAAATTCTTCCCATAATATGCCCCTTGGGGAGATGCACATTATTAACACATTTAATGCTCTGTGAAGAACTGTAGTAAAAAAGTCTCTGTGTTTATTTAAGTCGGCATTTCCTGAACACCTGACTATGTTACCTTTTTTCCACAAAATACCATTTACCATTTCTCTCCTCTAAACAAACCCCTCTAAAATTTGGGGGTACTAAACAGTCTGAGAGACTGAGGGAACTGACCTTGGGAGGGGTAACTTTGGAGCACAGCCCCCCCACTTCAAGGATAGGACATCAGTGGTTTCCCCAAAGATACTGTACAGCAGCAGGCTGGTCATGGGTTGTGGGGGGCCAGGGAGGAGGAACCCACAAAGGGAAAGGAGGGGCTCTGGGATAAACAGCCCTCATCTCATTTACTTCTGTCACTTTTTTTTTTTTTAGTATGGGGCAATGACAGTTCTTAGAGTTACAAAGTGGTGGCCACCTCAAAGGGAGAATGAGGCCTTAAAAAGGGATGCTCACTGCTGTTGCTATAGGCTATTGTGACCTAGCAAAGCGACTACCCCTTTCTATCACCTTTCCTCATTTGTAGAATTAGGATAGTAATAATAGCTCCCTCACAAAGGTAGAAGAGTTTAGAAGGGTAAACAAAATATACACACAAGCACTTTGTGTCTTTTAAGGCATGCAATGTAAAGTAGTTATAATGCCCAGACTAGCAACGTTTTCTCTTTCCTCTACATCTTCCCTGGGTGATTTCAACCACTCCCAGGCAGGGTCTTGGTTCCATAGAAATGTAGATGGGCCCCCAAACCATATCTCCACCCAGATCTCCCCTGAACTCTAGATTTCTGCTACAGTTTAGGATTTATTGTAAGAAATCAGAAATCTAATGAGCTCCAAGGACAGAAAATAAAACATTGTCCAATCTGAGAGGATCTAGGCTGAACACAGGGGAAACCCATCAAGAGAAGCAGCAACTCTGTCTCTGCCTCTCTGGGGTCTGATTTGTTCTCTCCCACACCACCAGCTTCCTCTTCCTGTTCATTATCCCCCAAGTGCATAGGAGCCCAACTCCAGAGCCCACTCCAAATGGCAATAGACTCCATGTCTCCTTGTTCAAATGCTGGGAGACAGAGCCTGCTTGGATGAGTCTAGTCCATTCAACCCACACAACAGAAGTCACAGGATGGACGGCCCTGGGTTAGGTGTCCACTGCAGGTCCAACAGTGATGGCACTAAAGAGAGAGGGGATTCTGTGGCATGTATAGCCATCCCTTCCACGACCACTGGACAGGGCAAATAATGAAAGTGTGCAAATTTCATTCTTCTGCTTGCCTACCTGGCACACATAAACTTTTCCCTATCCAGACATTTCCTAAGATGCTCTAATCTAACTTGATCACATTTACAACTACAAATCATACATCTCCCCACCAGAAACAGTGTGAAGCCGCCTTCTGTCCCTCATTCAGTCCATGAGTATCATGAGGCCATCTCAAAGGTTGCTTGCTTGCCCCAGAATCCACAATATTCCGTTTCTATCCAATCCTCCTTGAGTTTTGTGAGCTCCTGTCCAAATATGACTGCTCACTTTCTTACAATATATGAACTAAATGGTAAATTTAACCTCTGCCATCTCCCCATGGCATATCCACCAGAGGAGCAAAAGCAGGATGACAGCAGGAGGAAAATCATTTACTTAGAAAAATAGAGGAAAGAAAAAGATCTCTGGACAAGAACCATGCAGTAGCTCCTGCTCCAAGAGTATACCAAATCCCGAAGAGGGGACCCCTGGCTGGCACAGTCAGGCCAGTATCCTTGGGAGGCTGCCTGTTCTTAACCCAAATGACTCCTGAGGACCAGCCTGCAAATCTTCTGTTTAGAACCCATGGTCGGCTTCTTCAGTCTGGCTGTCCTCCTAATGGTGGATTTCATATGGTACAGAAGGGCTGTAGCTAAAAGGCACCAGGTATGTCTCTCCTAATCTGTATTTCCTTATCCATATTCCAACCCTAGCTGTGAGACTTGTCTCTCAGTGGGAAGGTCCTTCTAATTTTGTGGGGAAGGCAGATTGAGATATGCCTGGAAGGAGCTTGTGAGGGTGTCATGTTCCCCAGCAACTCCTTTTCCTCCCAAATAATTATTTTCCATTGGCCTGAGCATCCATCTTTGTCAATCAGAGCTTTAACTTTGGCACTACAAACTCAATGAGGCCCTTTGGTAAGGCCCATTGGTTTCTGGACTTGGCTCTAAGTAATCGGAGAGCTCCAGCTACAGGCAAAATGGGCTTCCTGCACCAGAGTTACATAACCATCTGCTTTTCTTATTTGCTCATAGGTGGGCATTCTGGACAGGAGACTGTCTCTTTGCTGCTGTCCAATGGGTAAGACAAAGGGAAATGTGCGTCTAAGGTTATAAGCAATAAATAATCTACTTCGTTATCTTTGCATTCAGGCATCAAGCTCCCAAAGATTCACCTTTGGTGTATGTATGGGCTAGATTTCAAGGGATAATAGATGACAACTTAGTTGTGTTTTTAGCAAAAATCACAGACTACAAACTTCCTATGCTGTAATGAAAATTTATTTATTATATCTCATTCCAATGGTACCACAGCTAGACTCATGTTTTAATGCTCTTCATTTGAAACTCTACTCCTGGTAACAATTTCCATTCTGATTATCATTTTTCCAGTTAAACACTTAACATACCTAAAGTAAAAAAATTACTTTAAGTTCATGTAGTATTTAAACACATATAAATGCATTTATATATGTATGTATGCATATGTGTGCATGTATATATATGGCTCAAGGAAACTAAAAGTAAAAATTAGAAAGTAAACCAAGCATCTTCTCTTTCTCTGCCTCTTTCTCTCTTAGGGGTGGTGACGTGGTCACCCAGGTCTTCATCAATGTGAGTTGGTTCCATCCTCTTTTATTTTCAGCCTTTCAGGAAGACAATGGAGGACCAATTCACTGCCCTCTCAGCAACTTACACATGGCCCCAAAGGCTGCTACCATGGCCCCTGACTCTATAAGACCTTCTGACGCCAATGTCCTTTAATGACTGGCAGTACTCAGTGTTTGCTGAAACTCTTCCAGAGACAAAGCATGATTGGTGTGACTCATTTGTTTGAGCCAGACCACACACAGGAAGTTACTGGTCAGCCAGCATATTCACTACCTTGATGTGTGACATCCATTCCACTTCTAGTTAGCACTGGCAGTCATGTGAGAACCATGTAGCCTGCAATTCTGCCCCTTCCTGGAGTTACAAGCAGCCAAGTATCAGGAAGCAAAGAGCAGAATATCCAAGTACTATGTAATTCTCTACATAGACTCCACACGCCCTGAAAACGAGTCACAGCCCAAGTGGGAATTACCTTTATATACGGCAATCCTCCTCTTGCCATGATCCTGATCTGAATAAATGGCACCACCATCCATATAGTTAAGCTAGAAATGAAGGTGTTACCCTTCACTGTCTCTTCTACTCTAATAACCGTATCTGT